TCCTTCCCGACGCCCCTCCCCCCCAAAGTCCATCCTTCCCAACACCCCTCCCCCCAAAGTCCATCCTTCCCGACGCCCCTCCTGCCCGACGCCCCTCTCCCCCAGTCCATCTTTCCCAACATCCCTCCCCCCAAAGTCCATTAGTGGAGGTGGGGTGGCTGGGGGAGGTTTGGTTAAGACCCCCTTTAGCACTGACCGGCGGCTGAGGAGCTTACAGATCTTTCTGAGAGAGATGCCACGGCCCCGGAAAGAACCCACGCGGCTGCGACTGGGACGCTTCCTTCCTCAGGCAGCACCAGCACCGCCCCTCCCCGAGAGCTGAGGCTGCTCAGTGAGCCACGTACGTGCAGTTACACACACTGACTGTGGACGTTAGCAAACACGTGTGTGCAGAGAGAAGGGAATAAACACCACGCGCGATCCCACCGCCAAGGAAAAAGTACCATCGACGTTTGTGCGGATAACGGTGCCGTTTCCGATGCCCCTCTTGTAACCCGCAGGAAAGTGCCAACGACAGCGTGAGGAGCCGCCCCGACGCTTCACACACATCTGCTCTCCTCCGTCTCCGTGTAAATGGAGACACACCCACGGGTACCGTATATGGTTGCAGTTATGTTAGAGAGATTACGTGTGCCTGTGAATATGAACATAATGACTTTAACAACACGCTACTCTAATACAGACAAGACGGATATTTGTTTTCTGAACCGTCTGTGATTTGGCTGGAGGCCCCTCACCCCTGAATGTGTCAGTGTCTGCTTCCCCAGAATAAGCTCTCTGATGTGACCACAGGGCCAATACTGACACCCATTCGTCCACGTCTAGCCCACCGTCCATGTTCCGATGACATCAACTGTCCCAATAGTGCTCTCTGTCCTCCACGTAACATGTTCTCCTGATGCGGCAGCCAGGCCGCGGTCAGTTGTTGCTTAGGCTGTCCCGTGGCTGGCGGGGAGGGCGGGGAGGGTCACCCACCGTGGTCATGCTAATGGCCATGCTAATGACTCGGGTTACGCATTCTGGGGTGCACGTACCATGGGGGGGATGCGTGTTCCCGGTACATCCTATCCTGATGCAGAGGAAATGCCGGGACGGTACCATCATCCGCTGGGGAGGGTCAGGAGTTCTTCACGAGAACTGGGATCACAACGCATGTGCTTGTTCACTCAACAACCTTTTGCAAATGTTTGGAATGGTTTAAATATTCTCACATGGTACCATTTTAATAGGTACCCAGCTTTCCATTAGATGCACATTATATTTACTTATTACAATTCCTATTGTTTTGCCAAATTTCAACATTTTGCTAAATTTTTGCTGACGTTAGCAATATGGCGAACATTTTAATAGAAAATTCTTTATATACATCCAAGATTATTTCCTGAGGGTAGATCCCGAGGACAGTCAAGGGTTATACATATTTTTAAGGCTAAAAAGTTCCGTTAAAGGGTCCTTGTCCTGAAAAGCATTTACACTCCCCAGCACAGCAAAGTCTTCCTCACCGTCTGTCTCCCTAAAGCATCTCCAGTGTAGGGTTTTGTCATTTTCCAAAGTCCTTTCTGGCTTCAGTTTCTTTCTTTAGTCAAAAAATTTGAACTTTTTTCCATTTACTTTGGGCCATTTATACAACTTCTTTTCTTTAGCTTCCCAATCACATCCTTTGTTAGTTTTTCTGCTGAATTTTCATCTTTTGTTATGATATACAGTTCTCATTATTGCACGAATGATTTGTAAATTCAGTTTTGAATTCTTGTTTTATTTTTTCCCCCTTAGTGTGTGTTTTTCTAAACTCCCAGTACTTTGTAAACAGAGTACATTTGTACTGGTGTTTGTAATTTGTTTGAACACATCTGTAATTGCTCTGTCGGTAATTAATCTGTGGTGACACGTCCTGTGCTGAAAAAGCACAGGTCAGTGGTGTAGACGGCCAGTGCTGGGGTCAGGCCGGCCTGGGGTTCAGCCCTGTCTCTGCTAGGTGACTTTGAGTGCGTCCTTAAGTGTCTCCTCTGGAAACAAGGATATAATAGCAGGGTGGCAGCGAGGACGGACTGGGCCGCTGTGCAAAGTGCCCGGCTCAGGCACTCAGGACGTGCGGGTCTCTGGCTGTTGTGTTGCCGTGGCCTGGGCTCCTGAGGACCAGTTCAGGCCCTGAGTCTCCGGAACGGAAGAGGGCAGGTGTCCGCCAGTGAGTGTTGCCAGGACAAGGGTGGGGACCTGTCATGCGTCCAATGGTGGCCACTGAGATAGCGCCTCCCGGTGCCCGCCACCCAACGGCTGCAGGCTCTAAGTCAGGGCATCCGAGCGGAAGAGCGGGTGCCTTCCATGGACTCCCTCTTCCACGCTGCATGGACAGCTGTCACTTGGTGACATTCAACAGCTACCTAAGGTCCCTAGATGTACGCTTGCGGGCCACCGGCCTGCAGTTTAAACCTGGGTCAAGAAGTCCGCAGGAAGCACCGGGTGAACAATGAACTCGGGCAACACTGAGTCCCACGCCCGGAACACAGCACAGGTAGGCATCCTGAGTCCCACGCCTCCTGGACGCAGCAGACGGTGTGAAGGAAGCACGAGCTGGCAAGCTGGCCCGTGGGGTTCTGCTCACATCCGGGTACGGTGCCGAGCAAGTCGGGTACCTGCAACTCCTGGTCTGGGGGTCAGCTTGCTCTCAAAGGGCCCTTCCACCTCAAGCATCCTGGAACTGTATCCCACGGAATCTGGCTTCACTGCTCACCCCTGAGGGCTCACTCTTGTGACATCAGTGAACCCACAGGAACCAACGCACAAGACAGGAGGTGCCCAAAGAAGGAATGCTCAAGGGTGCCGGGAAGGGCTCCCCACCCTCTACCTCTCATAATGTGACCTGCTTTCCAGGTGCTCCCTGCCCGGCTAAGTGCCCCTGTGGGAGCTCCAACCTGTCCGTGGCCCCTGGAAGCCGGGCTTCTTGCTCAGCTCTACGAGCTAATGACTTGTCAGACCCCGACTGCTCAGCTCTTGGTAGGAAGGGCTGAGTTCTTCCCAGCCTCCCGATGGAAAGCAAAAGAAAATAATGCGAGACCTTCACAGATAAGTGCACATTCACCACCACAAACGGCACCATCACAGGGACACATATGCAACATTTCAGAACTCGGGAAAACGGCCCAGCAGCGGCCCAGGCTAAGAATGGGAGTAATTTGGTCCTGCGGTCCAGCAGGGGAGAGAAACCCCAAGTTTCTAATTACCCAGCCACAGTCCTGTATTTTGATGTCAAAGAGAGGAAGTAGCTAAGCTTTCTCCGGGTCATAGACATGCTCAAGAGTCAAGGGCAGAGCCTTCTGCTCAGACCACGGCTGGCCACCGGCCCGGCCGCCCCAGCTCCTGTTCCTCGGATGAACCCCCAGGAGCCGCCAGTGACCCCACCTCGCCTCTGCCACCTTACGGGGATGCTGGCACCAACGTCCTCCCCCAAACGCCCCCCCTCCCCCGGTGTCCTTTCACCCAAAAGTGCAGGCCGGGCTCACCTGGTCTCCCATTCCGCCCGCCACTCCGTGAGTCCTGGAGCTCACACATAGCGTCCGCGTGTCGGCCGTGGCTGCGGGGTCAGCGAACATTGCGTCCGCTGTCAGGCTGCGACAGAAGCAAGTCCAGCTTCAGTCCTGATTCCCAGGACACCGCTGATGCCCCACCTGGAGCAGCTGGAAGCGGCCCCAGCACAGTCGGTAGCGCGAAGGACGCCTACTCCCGAAGGATGGCGTTTGTGCCTGGGCAGCGCCCCGCTGGGTCCGTGTCCCTCGGCGCCCCGTGGGCCGCTGGGTCTGCCCACTGCCCCGAAGGGACGAGACCTTGTGGTATCTCCTGTCATGGTCTGGAGGCCACCACCCCCTGCCCCGCCCCCGGCCCCCCAACAGCACACACAGAAACACAGGCGCCCTGCTACCCGCCATCCTGGGCTTTACTGGCCATTTCTTTTATTCTCGGGACGCACGGACGGGACCTTGAAACAGAGACTGTCGGGCGGGCACAGTGAAGAGCAAAGGAGAAGAAACTGGGGAAGAGGGAACGAGGGGTCCCCTCTTGTTGGGCTGGCGTGCCTCACACCACCACCGACATGAGACGTAGTCTGAATGTGACTTTTATCCCATCTCAACAATGACAAATCAAAAAAAAAAATCAGTTGATCAGAAAGTGTAAAAAGGAGAAAAGTCCTAAAGTCTTTACATGGTGGTTGTGGTATTTCCCCCTCCACAGCCTAACGATCCTGTTCCCCTCCCTGGCCCGGGGGCCCCTCCAGCTGTGGGCCATCCGGGGCCCCCGTCTTGTGGATCCCCAGCTCCTCTCCTAACAAAACCCAACCGGATCTTGAAGGGGGTAAACTGGGGGAGCCGAACCGAGGAGGACAAGGGGCAGAGAGAAAAGGAAGAGACTTGAAGGGGGGGGTAGCGAGGGAGCCAAAGGCCCTTCAGAGCTGGATTCAGACACAGCTCTTCCCGGGTGCTGACCTGAGGGACCAGACAAGCATGGGGCTCCTGTGTAGCCTGGGGATGTGGGTGCTGGGAAGAGCAGAGGTAACGGCGAGAGGGGAGCTGGGGGTGGCAAGTTCTCTGACCACCTTCCAAGGACCCCAGGAAAGATCTGGGGAGACCTTTCGAAACTTGACCCCTGTCCCCCAATGTCCCTGTTTCTGGTTCAGGACCCTCATCACAAGCCACCTCCGGGAAGTCTGCTAAAGGATGCCCTGCTGACCTCCATGTCTGAGCTCCTGGAGGGCATCAGTCCCCATCAGTCCCTGGGGCCATCGGGACCACCGTCTCTTCAGGAGCGACCCGGGGGTTTGCGGCACTGGGCTGGAGGTGGGGTGGCTGGGGGAGGTTTGGTTAAGACCCCCGCGACTGCTGGGACAGAACGCCACAGGCAGGGGCTCGGGTGACCGTCTGCACCTTGGGGTTCAGCGAGTGACAGCTGGCGCCTCCGGGCTCCAGAAGCCGGGAGGTCCTGGACAGGGTGTCTGCGGAGCCCCGCTCGTCGCCCCGCTGTCTGTGCCCCCACGTGGGCCCCTGCCCCATGCGCTCTCTGGGGTCTCTATTAGAAGGGGTGGGCTCCACCCTCCCTCGTGACCCCCTGTCCTCTCAGGGCGCCGCCTCGGAACCACCACACCGGGAACTAGGGTTCAACCTTGGGATCCGGGGGCACGGCACGCTCCGCGTTGTCTACACAGGCGAGGCGGCCCTCAGTGAGCGCGGCGGCCAGGAGCAGCCCTGACGCGCGCGGGGCCCGGATGCCCGCTCCACGTGCCCCCCACACCCCCCGACGCCACGCCGCCGACCTTTTACCTATCAGGGAGGTCACGTGCTCTAAGCCCATCCAGCTCGCAAGCGGCCGCGTCAGGATCCGGACGCTGAGCTCTCCCACCCCAGGGTCCGGGTCCCAATCGCTCTGACACCAAACGGCCCTGCCCGCACCCACGTCCTGCTGGGACGGAGGAGGACGCGCAGGCTCGCAGCGTTGCAAACTTGAGTGAAGCCCCGAGCTTACGCCGTCGGTGATTGGAGGAGCACGAAAAAAAAAAAAAAAAAGCATCCCTATTGGCTTCCCATTGGCTACTGTGTCGCTGCGCCCTCCTCTTCCGGCCCCTCCCCGAGAGGCTGGCTCAAGGCTCGAGAGCCTTGATTGGATGGGCGGGGAGGGGCGGGGCTGTGGGCGGGACACGCCGCCGAATGGGCGGGGCATGTTTGAGCCCCACCCCTTCGGCAGCCTCCTGCGGGGAGGCCGGTCCCGGGTTTTCCCGGTGGCGGCGCCGGAAGTCCCGCGTCCACCAGGCCCAACGGGAGCCTGGGCTCCTCCCGACTGGAAGGTTCCGGACTCAGGGAGTCAGGAACCCTGGCGCTGGGACCGGCTCGACAGTCTCCAGCGCCGCACTGAGACTTTGCACCTTTCTTCAGAGAGCGGCGCGGAGCCCCGAGGCCCTGGCGTCCAGAGGCCGTGGCCGGAGCGGCGGGGTGGAGGCGGGGAGCCCATCTCCCGGGGACCGGCCTGTTGAGTGGGCCCCTTGCAGGTAGAGTGGGGAGAGTGGAGGGCGCGGCCGAACCCGGGTGTGGGGGGGGGGGCGCGCAGGCAGGTGGGAAGCCTGTTGCGGAGGTCGCACCCGCCCCGCCCGGCCTGCCCCCGCCGGGTCCGCTGTTCCTGGGGCTCCCGGAGCAGCCGTCCTCAGGACCGCAGCACCCGAACACACTGACCACCGCGGGGATTCCTGAAAGCAGCCTGCCCGAACCGGTCAGTATTTACTGTCCAACGAGAAGTGTTCGGTGAGATCCTCAGGGAGACTGCGGCCCGATCGCTCACCGGTGCCCGCAGCAGGCCCTCTGCCCCGCCAGCCGGCGGCCGCACCCCGCTGATTTTGCAGCAGCGGTTACCTGGGTGCCCGGACGCACTGCCACGTTAAGGCCGAGGCCTCGGGGCCACGGTGAGCCCGCCCGGGCCCCAGCGGGGGCGCTTCTGCCGTCCAGGGAACATGTGACGGTGGCCGGAACATTCTGGCTTGGCACACACACTGCGGGAGCTACTGGCGTCTAGTGGGTGGAGGCCAGGGTGGTGCAGAGTACCCATTAGTGACTAGGAGACATGCCCCCGCCCCCACCACAACGAGCTCTCGGGCCCCCAGATGTCTCTGGTGCAGAGCTGCGAACCCGCCCCAGGCCCCCTCTCCATTATGCGTCTCTGTCACCTCCTTGATGGTCTCTCTACCTGCAGCCTTAATCGTACACGCTCTTTGCCCGGGCCACACCACCCATCCCCTACATCCAGACTCTGCGAATGGTTTAGAGCCGTGGGCAACCTGGGCCCCCTTGCCTTTCCACCTCTGTCCCCATCTCCCTCCAGTGACTCTCTAACCTGACTCTGCACCAGACCCTCTTAGGGGACTGGTGAACACGGGTGACTGCGCTGTCGGGTTTTGATTCAGAAGGGCTGGACCCGGGCTGCAGAATTCGCCCGGGCCTCGGCTGGTTGAACGCAACAAGGAAGTGGAAGGCCCGGGAGTGCGGATGCAGCCCGATCAGGTCGGCCCCGGGGCTCCGAGAAGGTGGGGGAGGGCCGAGAGTGGGCCCCGGTGGGGCGAACACAGGGTCTCCGGTGCGTGGCTTCCCTCCCTACCGTGAGATCCCAGAGGGTACAATCCGCGTGAGCACTGCCCCCTGGGCCCGTGGGAAGCCAGGCCTTCCTTGCACAACATAGTAAGTTATTGGTAAATATTTGGTGAGTAGATCTTTTCATCATTAGCTGGTGAGCATGTCTCGTGATTAATTTTCAGACATTTTTTGGAATTTAGCTGCTCAAAGAAGTTTCTGTGAATATTGTAAGAATGCTCATAGCTTCACGGGAAGACCGGCCAGGGGAGGCCCCTGCCCTGTGATACAGCAGGGGACCCCAGCGCCGCTCACTGACTTCTCACTACTGTATCACTTTATCAAAACAAGGGGGATGGGGCGCTGGGGGCTCAGTTGGTGAAGCATTCGACTTCAGCTCAGGTCATGATCTCACGGTTCGTGAGTTCAAGCCCCACATTGGGCTCTGTGCTGACAGCTCAGAGCCTGCTTCAGATCCTTTTCCCCCGCCTCTCTGACCCTCCCCAGCTCATTCTCTCTCTCTCTCTCAAAATAAATAAGTAAACTTAAAAAAAAAAGAGGGAGGTATCAGACATGTGGAGGAATAGAATTTTCTCAGGTTTTATTTTTCATTTTATTATTTTATTTTTATTTTAGAGAGAGAGTGTGTGTGTGAACAGGGGAGAGGGAGAGAGAGAATCTTAAGCAGGCTTCATGCTCAGCATGGAGCCCAAACCGGGGCGGGACTCCAGGACCCTGGGGTCATGACCTGAGCCGAAATCCAGAGTCAGATGCTCAACCGTCTGAACCCCTCAGGTGCCCGGACTTTTCTCAGGTTTCAAGCAATCAAAGAAAACACAAAGGAACAGAATTAACAGCAGAAATGATATTAATATTTTATAAGTGAAATATAACCAAACTAAATGTAGAAGGAGAAACTGACTGCAAAACATATGTACATTAGAAGTGGTTATGGGTTCGGGGCACCTGGGTGGCTCAGTCCCTTAAGCATCCAACTCTTTGATGTCTCAGCTCAGGTCATGATCTCACAGTTCATGAGGTCGAGCCCCACATTGGGGCTCTATGCTGACAGCGTAGAACCTGTTTGGGATTCTCTCTCCCCTTCTCTCTGTGCCTCTTCCCTGCTTTTGTGTGCACCCTGTCTCTCTCAAAATAAATAAGTTTAATAAAAAGGGATGATTTCCCAGCTCCGCTGTGTCAACGCCCGCACCTGCCTCCCTGCCGTGGAACACACACACACACACACACACACACACACACACACTCATGTGTTCAGTCAGGGCCAGGCATGTGCCAGGGGCTCCGTTGAGTATCTGGTTTCTCTCCTTCCCTGATTTGTGTTCTTCCAACAAATTAGCAGGGGAAGCACCGTTTTATAGGACGTGGCCCACCTCCATGGGGTCTGAGCCACCCTCACACTTTTCCTATGGGGCCGATGGCTGGGGCGGCCGCTGTTTCCCTGGCCACAGGGGTCAGGCTGGAGCAGGCAGGGCAATGTGGTGGGGCCCCGGCAGGGGGTGGGGTGGAGAGCTGGCATCCACGGCCCGAAGGGTGGGAGCACCCCAGGGGCACATACAGGCTCTGCGAGACCCTTCCGGGCTCCATCACGAGTCAGCAGCTGGTGTCACCAGACTGAAGACTCCAGAGGCAGAGATCTCAGTGAGTACAAGCCCAGAATGGCTCTTCTGTTAAAGAGGAAGTAGCTCTACAGAGTCCAGAAGGAACCTTCCAGAAGGGGGCCTGATCCTAACCAGGGCTACTCACTGAATGTGCTGCTGTTAAGAGGATGTTATTTGGGGGACGTTAAACCAATACCCTCTTCTCTGTGGTGACATCGAGAGCCAAACCCGGTCGACTCAGGTCCTAGGGCGTGATCTGGGGTGTGGGGCAGATACCCCGGTGGTCATGGGGTTTGGGACCTGGTCAGGGACGAGTAGATGCTGTGCCAGGAAACCTCCAGACAGGAAGAGAGACCTGCCTGAGGGGCTCGGGATGGAAGGGAGACAGGAGAGGCAGCGGCTCCCGGGCTCCAGGCCGACCCCAGGGTGTGGCGGGGTCGGTGGTCAAGGGCTGGCGCTCTGCCTTCGGAGCTGCGACTCAGGAGGGTCTCCTGCGCAGGGAACCCGCCACGTTCGCATGGAACAGTCACACTGAGTGAGAATGCAGGGCGGCGGGCTAAGGTAGACATGAGGCCTGCAAAGGACCAGGGCACCAGCACTCGGGTCGACGAGACCCAGCAACCTGGGGACCCTCCCCAGAGGCCCCAGAGCGCACATCTTCATAGGGGTCAGGTGGAGGGTGTCTGACCCTCAGAAGCCGCGCAGAACCATGGAGAGTTCGGGTAGGGGCAAGTCAGCGGCCCAAACAGAAAACAAACTTGAAGCTAATCGCCAGTCCCAGGAGACAGAAGTCGAAGTGGCCCGCGGACCAAGCATCCCTGCCTGTGCCACTACCCTCGTCTCCTGTTCTCAGGTACCCCCATCCTCCCTCAGGGCAGCCGTGTTGCCTCCAGCCGAGCCACAGGGCCTTTGCACATCCCCTCTCTTCCCTTCAAACTCCGTTTGTTGGGTCTTCCTGGCTCAGTCACTTGCCCCTCTTACAAACTCTCTTTTATAGTATTTGTCATCTTATTTGCTTGTCATTTTACCTTAACCTGGCAGCTTTTGGACTGACATCTCCCTCCCCCACAGATTATGAGCTCCACAGAGGAAGGGACTATTTCCCTCGTGGCTGTGCACACAGCACCCTGCACGGACTCTGATACACTATAGGCCCTCAAGTGTATTGAATGACTGGATAAACGAACCAACCGGTGAGTGAGGGAATGGAGGAGGGACCTGTCAGAGTTTGTCTCTGCAGCCAACAGCGTCTCCGTGTCCAAGAGAAGAGCCTGAGGCAGGAGGGAAGCCGGTGCGGCCCTGAAGGGGGGGGGGGGGGCGGGGGGGAGGCCCTGCCCTCCGTGAAGGACCTGGACCTTGCCCCACGTCACACTTGCTTTTCCTTGACCTCAAAGTCAGAGCTGCATTTTCTTTTCCTTTTTCGCAGGATCTTGGTCTGTTTTTACTTTTCATTCCACAAACGTCCTGGCAACGAGGAAGGGCAGGCGGGCCGCCAGGGAGCGGGTGAAGCACAGACACCACGCAGCCCTCGAGGCCGATGCTTCAGTTTGCACGTCTAGAAAACAAGCACGCCGCCCTGCTGAAACCAAAGCGCCGTTCCCGCGCCGCGTAAGGTGCACGCTGACTTATCACGTCACGCGCAGGCTGTGTGCCCCCCCCCCCCCCCCGCCCCCGAAACATGTCCTGTGCTTGGTGTCCTGGGTCCAGGACCCGGTCAGAGTCTGCACACGGAGCGGCCTGTTCTGAAAAGCATCCCAAACGCCCTAATTCAGGCTGCGTGTTTACCAGCGGGAGCACGGAGAGCGCCAGCCGCCTCCCGCTCACACCGGGCGCCCTCGGTCCCTGTTCAGACGGCCTCGCTCAGGCGGCGCGGTGCATCCAGGAACGGACAGCCCTGCAGACGCGGGCTCCCGGAACATTCCAGAAGCCCGAGGGGGCCCTGTGAAGCAGGGGAGCAGATGGCTGAGCCACGGGGGATGTATCTTCTTTCTCTAAACCGCACCGAGCCTGCCGGGGGGCTCCGGCCACCACTCAGGCGGGTCTCCTGGGGCAGCTCTGGGGTGACCCTTGAAAGCCTGTCCTGGGCTCTTGGCCACAATGCAAACAGGTGCAGGCCACCACACCGCTCGGGGCGCCTGGGCACACGCGTGAGTCCTGCTAGTCCTGCCCAGTTTCTGGCTGTCTGGTTGCCTTGATGGGAGTTTTGCGGTTTTCACGCTGCCTTGGGACAAACAGGACCGAGGTTCACAGGATCCCCGTGGGGTCCACACACTTCACTGCTGTGGCCTGTGGCCTCCACCCAACAGATGCCAGCAGTGTCCCCCGGTCCCCAACATCCTCCTCGGTGAACTCCTGTGCTACATCTTACACAAGAGACAGGTCTGAAAAGTCAGGAAAGTTCCAGAGCCATGGGCACCAGCTAAGAGTTTCAAGCTTTGGGAGAACCTCAAACCAGGCGTTTCAGGGGTGCTTGGGAAGGAGCCTGTGCGTGGGCGGAGGGAGGGGCACAGCGGCCGGGTCTGCCCCGTGTCCCGCCATCATGCCCGGGGAAGCTGCGTCAGAGCCTGGCCCCGTGGCCCGCAGGAAACAGCACGGTCATGGAGACACCTATGGGGCCGTTTCCTCCCGGAAGTGCTGGTGTGGCGCCAGGCGCCCTCCAGGGCCCAGCGGGATGTCCCCCTCCTCCTTCCTTGTCCACATCCCCAGGGTGGTGAGGGAGGGGCCACAGGGAGCCCGGGCGGACAGCCCACCTATACGAAGAAGGCATGGTGGGGCGCCTGGGTGGCTCAGCTGGTTAAGCATCCACTTTTTTTTTAATTAAAAAAAATTTTTTTTAAATGTTTTATTTCTGAGAGAGAGAGAGAGAGAGGCAGCGTGAGCAGGGGAGGGGCAGAGAGAGAGGGAGACAGAATCCAAAGCAGCTCCAGGAGAGAGAGAGAGAGTGAGAGAGAGAGAGGGGCAGCGTGAGCAGGGGAGGGGCAGAGAGAGAGGGAGACACAGAATCCAAAGCAGCTCCAGGCTCTGAGCTGTCAGCACAGAGAACCGCAAGACCATGACCTAAGCCAAAGTCGGGCGCTCAACCGACTGAGCCCCCCGGGTGCCCCAAGCATCCCAATTCTGATTTGGGCTCAGGTCATGATCTCACAGTTTGTGGGTTCGAGCCTGCCCTGTGTCAGGTTCTGTGCTGACAGCGCGGAGCCTGCTTGGAATTCTTTCTCGTTCTCTCTCTGCCCCTCCTGTGCATGTGAGCTCTCTCTCTCTCTCTCCCCCAAAATAAACATTTAAAAAAAGGGGGGAGGGGGCGAGGAATGAAAGGATGAGACTGGAGGGGACCAGGGGAAATTCTGAGGAGGTCAAGTACAAGCAGCTTGAGGTCAAGTGCAAACAGCTTACATCTCTCTGCTGGGGGATCAGGGAGAGGCCCCTGGGCTCACCTGTCCTGGCCTGGACATGCCCAAAGGTCCCATTCTCAGTAGAGGCTTTTCTGACCCCCAGTGGGTCAGGGCCTTGGGCCTGAAATCTTTTCCTCAAAGGCACTTACCCTTGATGGCTGGACCGTCTTACCCACCCCACCCCCGACCGGGAATGTTCTGATTCACTGCCAGACACCTGGCACACGGCTGGAGCTCAGTAAATGTTTCTCTGTTGAAGGAATCTCTCTCCCGATCCGTCGTTCTCAGTGGACCACCTCTCTCTCCCTCTCTGCCCACAGCCCGGAGTCCCTTAGAGGCGGGCTCCTTCAAGTTCGGTCCCCTTCAGCACACACCTGGCTGGGCTCTCAGAGTGGAAACAGCCGTGGGGCCCTCCATGCCCACTGGGGCCACCCCAGGAGCACATGGGGCAGAGCCCGGTGGGTACAGCTGAAAGCAGATTGGGCAGATTTTCTGGAAGCCATGTGTTTCTGATGAAGAAGATGAAGCATCCTGTTTCTCCGCAGCCTGGTCTTCCTGGTGTAGCAGAAGGTGCCCGGCTGGCTGGGCTTCTGTGCATTTCCGTGCGGTGGTGGGTGGGCGAAAATGCTCAGGGATTACCCTGTTGTCCACCCCCCCCCCCCCCCCGCCGCCTATTAGCTGCTGACTTTTAGGAATCTAAGCTCAATGAACCTTCGAGCGGCACCTCTAAATGGAAACCTAACCGGTACGTGTCTCATTCAATTAGGAGGCACCCTCGCATGGCGTTTGGTCCTGGGTTCAAATCCCAGCTCCGCCCCTTGCGGGCTGCGGGGTCTTGGGCACCTTGCTTCCTCTCTGCATAGTGTCCTCACCTGTAAGAAGAGGAGCTGCCTTAGACAACTGCCGTGAGGCGTGAGAATGCCTGGCACAGAGAAAATTATCAGTGGTTCCGGGGAATTAATTGTAAATTTCTTGGCACAGTGCCCAGCACCTAAGGACTCAGCGCGCGGCACCTGCTATTACTGCGAGTTCTCTGATGTGCCAGGAGCTAGGGCAGCCGGGGTGCTCCGAGTCCGCCTGTTTGTGCCGTGGCCGGTGGTGTGTTTTCCGGTCCCACTCGACCCGGTCTTCACCTCCTCAGCTCCGTGATCTAGCTGCCTCCGCCAGAGGTACGTCCAAAATTCGAGACGGCTGAATGGAGGACCCGGTGTTTGCTGCAGGAATAATTATTTCTCCTCCGGTCTTAAAAGTCCAGCTGTATAGCTGGAGATGAACAGAGAAAAACTCGGAGTGAAAGTCAGCACTGCTGGCCTGCCTTGATTCAAAGCGTGGGTGTAGTTTTCAGTTGACGATGAGAAGTCGGGAGTTAGAGGCAGGTTGGGCCCAACGTGTTCCTCTTTGGTGAAACATAGTGGCCCTCAAGTCATGACCCGCAGGGAAAGGGGGTCCAAGGCCAGGCCGTGCCGAGCTGAGGCCTCCCCTGGACCATGTGTGCTGTCTGCCCCTCCCCTGGCACGTCCACGACCTGGGTCACTAGGAGAGCAGATTCCAAATGCCAACAGCTAGCACCAGGCACCCAAGAAGCGCACGAAGCCTTCCTCGATTGAAGAGGAGAGCGCGTGAAACGTCCCTCGATCGCACGCCGCTGCGCCACCTCCTGGGTGATGTCTGAGCAGGGTCTCTAACCAGTCTGCTGCGTGTTCTCATCTCTCAGGAGGGGCCATCGGGGAATCGTTGTGACAGTGAACCGGGAAGTCCTATAAAGTGCTTGGGTGGCGTCTGGCACGCGGCAGGGGCTCAGAAATAGTACTGAGCATCATGATGCCTGGTGGTGGTAGAGAAATGCTGAGTCCTCCTGGGGAGGAGTAAGTATATCCTGATGAGACAGGCGCCCATCGGAGGGGGAATCCCTGTGATGCTAAGTGACCCTGTCCGGAGCCAAGGACTGGGAGGCGTCTGTGTCCTGAGACCCAGATTCTTGGATGTAAATAACGTAAACACCAAGAGGGGTCGCTCCAGTCAATGAAGGACTGAGTCGTGTGTGTGTGTGTGTGTGTGTGTGTGTGTGTGTGTGTGTGTGTGTGTTTTCCTGAGCCTGTAAGATTTAGAAAACGTAGCATTTATGTACCAGGGGAGCTTTGTCAGGCCCGAGCATCGTGGAGAAACCCATGCCGTCGGATCGGTCAGCTGCACTGACTTCTGGCTCTTGGAAAGGGGCCCCCAGTTTTGCCCTTGAAGTTCCCTGGGAGCATCTCTGAGGTGGGGCGCCAAGTGTACGAAAGGAAGCTGCGTCCTCTGCATCCTGAGCGGCCTGAGGATCCAGGCCCAGGAGCCGAGCACAGGGCTTCGGTGACTCACTACCCCAGCTCCACAGCTGGCTCACCAGAGTCTCAGGAGTCCCTCTTCAAACTCCCGAGACCCCCCACCAGTGCACCCTGATCTCTGACCTGTGGGTGCAGCCACATGGTTCAGAACAGGCCCGTCCCCCAGACGGGAGCATCCTGGGCCCTTCCCCTCTCTTTCACAAGCCGTGAAATCATGACCCAAGCGGAGACCAAGAGTCGGACCCCCAGGCGCCCTAGGAGTGAAGTTACTTTGTAGAAGAAAACGTCTTAGGAAAAGGAGGCATAGGAAATGAAATGTGTGTGTTTTCAACCACCTCATGTGACAGCACAACAGAAGCAGTCCGCCAGCTCTGAATTTTCTAGGCGTCCTTTAAAAAAAAAGAAAAAAAGATAAAAGAAGGGGAGTAAATATTCACACCTGGACCTCTCCTGGGGTCACTTCTGTTGAATTAGGAGGAATAAAAAAAGAAACATCCAGGTCTGATGTTCAAACGAGCCTGTCCGGTGTGACCCGGCCGTGGTCCCCTAGAAGCGCACGCACCAGCGCCCCGGACCCCCGAGCTCGCCCCTCCTCTCCCTGCCTCCTCCTGGGTCCCAAAGGCACAGCCCCCTTCCTCCGTCCGTCCGTCCGCGTTCTGTCCAGAGCAGACGGGGCACAGATGCGCTTTCGCAAGCCACACAGGCGCTCTGGCCGGTTCTGTCCTGTGACCCTCACTTTCCTGACCCTAAAATAACAGGGAACGCATGTGGAAAGACTCCGTGATTTAAAAAGTGATCATTATGATTTTATTACGTCAGAAACGCAGCCTATAAATTTTCTACAACTAATCACTGAGAATTTCCCTCCGTGCCTGTTTTTTTTTGTTTTTTTTTTTATTAAGTTTTAACAGTGTTTCTATCTACTGTAAGGTAGAAAATAATCTCAGACCCAAAGACCTGGCCGGGAAGGCAAAAGCAAAACAGGCTGGTGAAGTCGTCCCCAGCCCGAACGCTGCTGGGGGGAGGGGACCGAGGGGTGGGGACCGTCGCCTGGCCCGCCTGGCCCTCAGGCCCAGAGGAGGGGGCGTGGACCGCAAGAAGGCCCCTCCCGCTCCCCAGGCCTCTGGCCTCCGTGCCCTGGGCCGGGGCCGTCCACCCCGGGAGAGGCCTGGACCCTTCACTTCAGCCTCCGGGGACCCTTACTGGCTGGGGCCTCACCCCCTCCTGCCCGTCCGGAGGAGGCTCTGGTCGGACGGCCCTGCCTCCCCCTGGAGCCTGCTGCACCTGCCCGGGGCTCCGCTCCGCCGCAGGGCGGTCGTGTCCCCTCTCTCCTTCCCAGGCCACCAGGAGCCGCCTCCGGGCCGCGGGCTCCGTGCACGGCAGTGGGATCAAATCAAGGTCTTCGGGACCTCTGTGTTTTGGTCGACATTCATGACCTTGTTTTTAAAATCTAAATTCTTGGCTTTTATTATTACTTTTATCAGTTTTTTTTTATCCTAGAAGTTTAAAATGCTCTTTGCCTGAAAAAGGAAGCGTTTGACTGCTTCACAGCGAACACCTTCTAAGGGGCAGATTTAATAATCTACTCGCTGCAGGGCTCAGGCCCCGGAGCAAGCTGCCCCAGGCCCCAGCCGTGTTTGGCGGCTGTGAGGAGGGACGGGCTGTTCCTACCCAGGACCCTGGGCCCCGTGCCAAGTGCACAGGTTAACCTAATTTCTGAAGCCAATTGCTTTCTAAACGCACCCGCCATAAACCGAGCCGTTGCAGGGATCTGAAGCCTGGACACGGTTCATGTTAGCTCCGCCTGCGGGGCTGGGGACCCAGAGTACACATGCAGGTAAAGGCGCCCCCGGTCCTTCCCTCCGCCGTAGCGAGGACCCAGCTCCCATCGGTGACCGTAGCACAAACCAGGCCACAAGCCTGGGGACTTCCGTGGTGCGCTCGGAGCAGCGCTTACCAACAAGGGTCCCAGCGGAATGAGGAACGGGACCAGGGGCCGGGAGCTTAGGGGCTACCCTGCGCACACGCACCCGCACGCACTGTTGCAGACACACGTGGGCGCGCACGCACCCGCACGCACTGT